GATGTCGGCTGCAATATCGTCCTAGTTATATCAATAAGTTAGGTCTCTGTCTTTTTTAACTCAGAAGGTTCTTCCATGGGTAGTTCAGGAGCGTCTTTGACCACAGACAGTCTGTAGAACAGATTGTTGACAGACAGACAGACAGAAGAAATGGCGGTTGCAGCCCGTTGTCGTGCAGAGTGGGAGCGCCGGCTGCGTCTGATCACGATAGATAGATAGGATAGAGCCAGAACTATTAGTTACAGCAATAGATCAGGGTATGCTTATTTCCCTTCCTCCCAATCTACTCTGAACACATTCTTATTTCCTTCTTTTATTTTTATTTTTATTTTTATTTTTAATTTCTACCAGAAGCCCGGTGCCTCGTGCCCCGTGTGCCTTGTGCCTTGTGCCTTGTGCCTCGTTCCTCGTTCCTCCATCCCATCCATCCACAACTAAACATGACTTTCTCTTCTTCTCCGCGCTACTCGCACCTCGCACGCACACCCACCCCCCGACAAAAACAACTTGACAGCCCAGTCTTGAATAACTAACTTAAAACGCCCGCCCTAGGGGTTACGGTTACCCCTTTCAAGGGCTTCTTCGTATCGAAAGATAGTAAATGATGTAGGTACGCTACACGCTTCATTCGAAGGAGAAGGCGATGGTATGCAGTGTGGAGGGTTTGACGTGACCGGGGGGGGGAAATAATAATAATGGGATGGGTGGGGGGAAAGAGGTTGAACGCACGCAGGGAAGGGAAACTAAATCCGATTCGCTGCTGGGTTTGATGATTGCTCAGAGCAATATTATTATTGAAAAATCAATGTGAAAGTGAAAAATAACATAAAACTAAAAACTAAAATAACGTGGACGGACTCGTCCCCAAGGGTGGCTAATAAAATCATACGAGAATGATGTCCCATTTTCGTTATTTTCACACTTTCGATGTTTGAGCTGATCACAGGCGGGGCGGGGCGGGGGTGAGTGACGTGATAGGATGCCCTTTATTATTCTTCACCGCCGAATGCCTCGTTCCCTAATGGCCACTTATAAATTAACTTACTAATAAGAATTATAATTAATCACATTCATCATTCTGTCTGGATTTCGTTTTGGATATTTCGCCATTTTTCGGATCCCTCCTAGATATTCATTCCATATCATGATTTTGGGTAAAAATGTAAAAAGTTAAACCTGGGAACTGACTGCTCTCTCTCTCTCTCTCTTTCTCTCTCTCTTGGTCTGGTTTTTTGTTCCTGGCGCGAAACTCTGTCTCTGGCCTCGAGCAAAACAGCGGGGTAGAGAGTCTGGGACCAGCCCCAGCCCCAGCCCTGGCTCCCGTCCGGCTCATCGCCCATGGTTACAGGACAGTACATACATACGTAACTTGCTGCGGAATGCGGTAATCGTTTTTTTGACAGCAAAGCTGGGCGTGACAGTGGTTACAGGTTCACTGCTGGGGGGGGGTCCATCTTTCTTCCGCATCACTTCTCTTCTTTCTCATGGCTAGGTTCAGGTAACCTCCAATCATAAAGAGCGATGGAGTGAGTGAATGGCATTGTACGGGTCTTTTTAAGAGACATCACTTATAGTTAACTAACTCCTGTGCTTGCTATTAAATTTGGTTGGATGAAGGCGAAAAATAACTAGAATAGAATAGAGAGACTTCCCTTGTTTCCATCAGGACACACTCAACGCAAACACACGCAACACATACACAAAACACAGCGCGATCTATTATTTGTGAGATGAGAGCCGGTGTTTCTGATGCGTGACAAGGAAGATTACTTCTTCTAACTAGGAACTAGGTGGGTTGGGCCGATGGAAAAATGACGACAGAAAGTGCAAAGTGCGACATTCCAGGGTCCTTAGTCCCACCATCTAGGGGGCAAGGAAATTGTGGATAAACGATAAACGATGGGATGGGGTGAGCGCTGAGGGGACAGACAGACCAGAGAGTCAGACTAGAACAGACTGGACGGAAATAATAATATTTAATAATGTCTCGGCAAAGTTGTGATCTGACGTACACGTACCGTACAGGTACTTCATGCCCATAAGGGTCTATCTATTATCCCTTAGCGAGCCAGCGGGTGCGCTTCCTGTCTTTCTGTCTTCCTTTCTTCCTTGGTCTACTATACTGTACATGTACATATCTACCAACGCGATGTATGGCAATCCGTGTAACGACAATATCTGTCATCTACAACAGGGGATAACTACTAAAACTCCATCGAAAGTTGGAAGTTGGTGAACAAACTTTTAATTGAACCTTTTGAACTCGTTCATTATTCTACACATAGCACAGGCTATAGCAGGTAGGTAGATAAATACCCTCCTCCCCACCTAACCTTATTTGGCTCTGGTGGGGGGAATAACTACATCATCCGGAGCCCTGAAAGTCTTTACAATACCCGTCCAATAGCGACATCCTAGAATATCCCAGCGCGTTCTCGTTCTCGTGCCCTCTTTCTTGAACATTCGATTCGGACTTCCGAAAGAATCTACCTCCCGACTGACTGACTTACTCACTCACTGACTGACTGACTGACTGACTGACTGACTGACACGCACGCCAAAACCCGGGAGGCGAGCGAGTGAGGCAACAATATACTAATAAATGGATGGTGCCTCGTCTGTACAAGTACCTAGCCTCCTCCATACATCGTCACTGGCGGAGGGGCCAAGTGGGTGATTGGCGCACGGCACTGGTCATCTGCATCGCATGTGGGCGCGAGTAGTCTGCGAGAGCCCTGGATGGAGGCGTGCTGGAGACTTGGAGTGGAGTGCGAGCCCTCAGAGGGGAAAGGGTTTCTCCATCCATTTTCATCCATTTTCATCCCTGGCCACTTGTCTTGTCTTCCGTCCGCCCCCCACCTCGCTGGATGATTTGCTGGCTCTTTATTATTAAGAAACTCACCCCCTGCTGGCGCTGTTTGCAAAACCAACCTTCCCCAGCGTACCATTATGCTTGAAATTTGAGCGGCCTCTACCAGGTGTTAAAGAGCTAGATTTTTGCCCGTTTGTATCACATCATTTGAACCTACTGAGCATGGTGGGGCTATTTGAGCAGTGAGGGAGGTATCATCATGCTGAGTTTTTGAACACCCTCAAAGAAATATAAAATAAAAATGAAAATGAAAATGAGACAGAAAAGTAACAAAAATTCAAGACTGCAAATGGGCAAATTCTCGGCCTTTTTCCCTCTAATCTAATGGAACAAAGACATTGTTCACATCAACGACCAAACCAACCAATCAACTCCTGTACGGGTTCATCATTGTTTTTATTGTGGTGGCAACTTCAAACAGGCCAGGCTGCATAAACCATCCTAACTCAGCAGCACTGACAGGGCGAAAGGGGCGGGCGCCAATCCGGTTGGCTGGCATAGCAAAATGTGAACGAGTGAAATCGCCCCCAGGAGTCCCGAGGAAGAGGACAGATAAGAGAGGAGTCCTCTGCCGCCGCTGCAAGCAGAATGATACGATAATTATGATACGATATGTTTGTGCTCCATAGTTGCTGCTTGGTATATTTCTTATTCCATTGTTGTTGTTGTTGTTTGGTTCTGGCTTGGGTTTGGATGTTTCGCATAGTCAGTTATCTGAGGAATTATCGTAGTTGATTGATGGGGATTCTATAATAATAATAATAGCTAGTCCCCCGTAACTCGATTTACGTTTTTACCGGATGACTGAACGTACCTGTTTCCATCCTCTCCTAGTTTTACTCGTTGTTCCATGAAGTTTCTCGTTCTCTTCCAGCGCCGTCCTCGATATGCCCCTCCTTTTCGTATCGATAAGGTCCAAGCCCGCGCCAAGCCATATCTAAACGTTTGAGGGGGTTAGGTTTTTCAAACTTTACATCCATTTTGATATGCACCACCATTCACATCCATCCATGTAATGCATTCAACAGCTTTTGCCACCACTTATTGGATAAGACAGGAAGTCACTGATCACAACCTAGGTATGTGAAATGGCTTTGAGTGGCTTGGATCTTTGGAACAAGAACAGTGTGCCCCTTTACTCCCTTCATTCATCTTCTGCAGTGGTTCTGTCCATCACGATTCATCAACAGGCTTTATCAGCTACCTTCTTTAACAAACCCAAGCGAGCCAAAAAAGAAAGAGAGAAAGAAAGAAAGAAACAAAAAGAAAAGAAAAGAAAAGAAAAGAAAAGAAAATGTAAGAGGCCTACGCCGAATAGATTGGTATTATATTGATAGGTCTTATTTAACAAAGATAAAAACATTAAAGAAGGAAAGAAAGAGAAAGTGCGAGAATCAGCAATTGAGGTGGATATTTATACGCGTATGTGGTGGTGTACGCGGTGGAGCTTCAGGGCGGAAGAATATATGCATGTTTGTAGCAGCTGAGGATCAGTGATCAGGAATGGCTGAGAATTGGAGCGTACACATTCGAGAATGAAGTGGTTGGAATCTGTGGAGTGTAACAGAATAGTCTATATGATTGATCAGGTGCAGCCTGCCACATTAGTCCCTTCTTTCCAGAAGCAGTTCTCATCAGTCAAGAGCCACTGTTTCAGATAACATGGAACTCAGAGTTCAGGTCAGTTAATTGTAACTAATTCATTTCATAAGATATTATCAGCTGTGGCTAGACTGACCGTGTGACCGTGTCTGAGACCAGGACCAAACTTTACAGTTGTCATATTACTTAAAAGCATTACTTCTGATCATGATTTATGTTCATTACATTGATTTCAAATCACATTATTTCAAATATTAAAGATTTCAGATTCACTTTTCAAATAAAAATCTAGTTCTGAATAAAGAATATGTTTGAATTCTTAGTCACATTTTCATTCTGATTTTATTATTGAGAATGATATTAAATGAGACTATAAAATCACTTCTCACTTATATAATATTATAACATAGTGCTTATTTGTTGAAAATTCAACAGAGAATGTTATTAAATATTATTACTTTTCTGAATATAGATCATAATTCATATAATTTTAATTATGAAAAAAATATAAAATATAAAAAAAAAAACAAAAAACAAAAAATAAAATAAAAACAAGAAAAAATCAGAATGAATAAAAAAAAAAAAAAAAAAAGAGAAAGAAAAAAAAAAAGAAAAGAAAAAGAAAAAAAGAAAAAAGAAAAAGAAAAAAAGAAAAAAGAAAAATAAAAAAAATCAAGATTACAGAGCTGTAGTACTCTTAAAATACTTACTTCTCAGAGTCTTTACAATGTTTATTATTAACTATATATCTCTCACAGTGAGAGTAATACAGCTGTGATAAGTTATTATCTTAATATTATTTAATAAATAATCAGTATATATCTGTATAAATGTGAATATTTAGAAAATATATACTTAAAAAGTGTGATCAGAATAAACTCTGCTGTTACTTGAATAATATTAAGAATAGAATACTGAAATTAATGATTTTCTTCATTAATTTCATGAATAAGACAGATGAAGATAATCTTGAAAAATATAAGATTCTCTGACTTCTGATAAAAACAGATCTTACAAAGAGACTCTATTTTCATAATATCAGAGACTGAGTGTTATTAAAAAGTGTTACTTTTATACAATGTATATACACTTACTGTGACAATTCACTCTCTGTGTATGTAACTGAGAATTGTAACTTTCTCACACTGCACAGCTCTCTCTGAGATACTGATACTGATTTATAACTCACACAGTGTAAGAAATCCCGCTTCTCGCGGATTCTTTACCTCTATTTCTATCTCTTGTGTAATCAATAGAGCTAGTGACTCTTGACTATATACAACTATATAGACTGAAGTTCATGAATACTATTCATAACTCAGTTTGAATACTATTATATATTTAATCTCTATATTTTATCTTTCTACTGTAAATACTTCTAGTAGTTAATAGTACATATTACATCAAGCTGTAAATATCTGAATAATTGTCTGTAAGCACTTATTCTTATATTTCAAGCTCAGTCAGTCAGCAACTGCCTGTTATAACTGAAAGAACTAGAAACTTATATACTTCAATCTCTGTAAACTCTACTGCAGATACTCAGAAGCAGTCATCTGAATTATAAATAACTCTTATAAAAGAAGTTTTAGAAAACTTATTAATCACTCACAGAATATCATTCTCTGCATCTGTGACAGAGAAACTCTTCAAACTCATGAATAAATCAATCTCAGTGAAGAACATTCTTGAGTATCTTTTATAAGATTAAGCTATTTTTCTATAAGAAATGCTTACTATCTGCAAACATTCTTGAACTGAGTCTCTAGATATAATCTTCAGAGATATTTACAAACTGAAAAGAAACTTTCTTAAGCTGTAATCACTTAAGACTACTTATTGAATTACAATCTATAAAAGCTTTTATAAGTTTGTATTTGAAATTAACTCATAAGTCTGACTGTGTAATATGAAAGATGAAGAAGCTATCATCTATATAATGATAGATCTCTATTACACTGAAGTCAAGAACTAGCTGAATTATTTAGAGAATAATTATAAGAGATCTTACTAATCTGTTCTCAAGATCTATCTAGAGAATAAGTTAAGAAACTTTATAAGTCAGACAGAGAACACCTGAGCTATAATTATTAATATTAGAAAAAGAGATGAGAAATCTGATGAAAACTACTTATAGTACTTTATAAAATTATAGTGTGAATTGAGATCTGTGAAAACAGAGCTCTGAAATAAGACCTGAATAATAATATTTATAAAGAGACTGAATAAAGATATATAGAATAAGCTTATTAAGTAAGACTCTAAGTTCTTAACTCTGAAGAAATTAATAACTTTTATTCACTACTTATAGATTACTGTGAGAGTCACAGATCTGCAGAGAGTAGATTATTAACTAGCTCTATAAGAGTCAGAACAATAGAGAACAGATTTATTAGAAAAAGATAATAAGATATAGAGAGATTTGTATCTGACTACTAAGTAGAAAGAGAGAGTTTTATAAGCTTCTGTAAATAGAGTATATAACAGAGAGATTAAGAAAAACAGACTCTACTTTATCTATTCTAAATTAGAATATCTTTTCATAAACTGTCTGAATAAATTAAAATAGAAATTTAAGAAGTTATAAATAGAGTCAGTAACAGTCTTTTTAAGAGTCTTAAAGCTGATATCTGAATCTGTTACTCTTCTAATAAAAATACTTACTTATAGAAAGAAACTGTGCTGTGATACTACTGCTCTACAAGTATAAGAAGTATTAATAAACTCAGAATCTCAGATCACTATAATGTCTCTAAAGCTTATAGAGTGAATGAGTTAAAAGATGAAAACTGAGAATCTGCTCTTATAATAAGCAGAGTGTGAGAACTCAGATCTGAGAGCTGAGAGACTTATAAGAATTATTTTTGAATTACAAAATCTCTCTAAAATCTGAAGAAGATTTGCAGAAACTGTGATTATCACAGACATTACAGATAACATGTATTTAGAACTTGTATAACTTTAAAGACATAATCTATACATAGCTGTCTGTAAGTCAGGTTTATACTTCTGATCAGTGTTAACAGACTTACTTATAAAGATAGAATCAGTTGATACTGCAGAGTTGATTAGAGAAGACAAGCTTATCTATATAATAACTTTATAAGTATCTGAGAATCTCACAGTTATGAAAACTGAGCTTCAGATATCAGAGAAATATTAAGATCTTACAGAGATATTCAGCTTAGTAAAGACAGCTGAGCTTTCTTCTCACTATAAGAAGAATCTGATAATAGATTTAATAGAAGAGTAGAAACTCTTCTAAGAATCAATCTATAAGCTCTCTTATTATGAGACAGAGATCTTGTAGATCTATATAAAGAAGAATCTGAAGAATAACTTTATCTGATTTTTACAGGCCTCTGCAGAAGTCTCTGTGATGTTTATAAAGAAGAAGAATAAAGATCTCAGATTATATATAGACTACTATAATCTGAACTTCAAGATAATAAAGAGTCACTATTCTCTATCTCTGATTAAGAATATGATTAACTGTCTCACAGAAGCTGTTATATTTATATAACTGAATATAATTAATATATATACATGGCTGTGAATACAGTCTGAGAATGAATGAAAGACTGTCTTTAGAACTGCACTGAAATTATTTAAATATCTAGTGATATCTTTTAATCTGATTAATGTCTCTACAGTATTTCAGTCTTTTATTAATAAAATACTTCATATATATCTGAATGTCTTTGTGATAATATATCTAAATGATGTAATAGTGTACTTTATAAAGAAGAAAGAACACACTGAGCATATATAAAGTGTGTTAAAGATTTTAAATGAGATAGAACTGTATATTAAGCTTATGAAATGCAACTTCAGTGTCTGCTGAATTAATTTTCTAGAATATATAATCACTGCAGATGATATTTAGATGAAATCTTCATAAGTTAAGACTATTCTATTATAACTGAAGTTAACTAGTATTCATGAGATTCAGATCTTTCTGAGCTTTGTGAATTTCTATAGACAGTTTATCTTTATATTTATAAGAATCTTCTTAACTCTTACAGACATGCTGAAGAGTGAAAATAAGAAGAAGTCATTCTATGAATAGAGAATGAAAAGATTATTGAGAAGAGAGAACTGTGAGAACTTTCTTATCTCAGAAGCTTATAAGATCTTTACAAGATTGAAATAGATATTCATAGATACAGTGATACTGTTTCACTTTAATTTCTTACTCTTAATCAGATTGAAGATAGATGTCTTCTTCTTTATAATTTCAGAAATAGTCTTATAACTACAGTTAAATGAGAACTAAGTTTCAGTGATCTTTTTCTTATAGAAGATGCAATCTATGAAGATCAACTATAGTATTTATAATCAGAAGCTTCTTATAATAGTGAAATTCTTCTATCACTGATATTACTACTTTGAGAGTCTTATAACAGTGATTACTGTTAGAACTGATTATAACAGCTTATAATAGTTTACTTTAACTAAGAAACTCTC